ATGGGGCCGATAGACGTATTCTATCCAAATAATGCAAATTCACGTAGGCAGAGAAGTGAAAATGAGGACGAAAATCTTAGTGATGGCGACTTTTCCCTCTCGTCATGTCTGACGAATTTTCTTTAAAATAGAACTGCTTTCTTGAGAGGATGAAGTAAAGCGGTTTACTTGCTAAAGGAGTCTAGGTATCTTTTGTGGATCGAGATTTTTCCTAATCTTGCCCTAAGCAATCGGCGCAGTATTCTTAAATGATGGAGAAGCATGCGTCGGAAAAACCATAAGCATAAAATTGGCCTGTAACTTAACGTAAGCTATAAAGCATATTGAGAAAGGCAAAGGTATATACATAAGCAGGCGCACGATCACAAGCTTTCTCAGGCTTATTTAAACAAGATAAACCTACAGAAGCCCTGCTCCGCTCTTGTGAAGTTGGTAATTTACGAAGTCTCCAATCCGGCTGTTTACTCTTACTTTCTAGGTCTTTCTCACATTTTGGGCTTGAGCTGCCAGGCGGGACTTTATCATCACCATCATTAACACCTCGTACTGAGTAATGGGAGAATAGAATAGAAGAATCGGTGGGAGATCTCAAGAAGTCATCTGTTATATCATCATTTGCAATGTTTTTAAAAGCAAAACTTGTGATAGTCCCGGCGCGACGTCGAGTTCCATCGGATGCGTGCTTTGCAGACCTGCCTGAAGTACCTGATGTTGGGTCGCCAGTATGATCTTTCATCCCGCTGCCGCCGCCAAGTCCTTCAGCTCCGTACAGGCCGCCTCTACGACCGATGTTTCCATCATGACTTGAGGGTGGAATCGAGCCAGGCGAGGTAGAAGGCTTGTTCTCAGATGATTGTGCATCTGATACATGTAGCGATCGACTCACAACCAAGGTGACTAGAGAGCCAATAACCTTGTCACGGAGTAAAGATACAGTTGCAGCCTGGCCCAGTCGAGTCACATCGACACCATCCACCTTAAAAATAGGTTTTAAAAATATCGAATAAGAAATAATGGCTAAGAAAGTTGAAGAAATTTTGGCTACAAGCAGAGAGAAAAAATAGAATTAG